TATGTTGCGACTTACCTAGAAGAGTAATACACCTGCTGAATTTGTGGAGCTGTGAAAGATCTGATTTCTTTTCGTATCTATATAATTCTAGCATTTTAGCTGTTGCAAAATTTCAAATATTTCGCTTGATAAACAGACACAGAATCAGAAGAATATTATCTGTACATGGAATTTAAAAATCTATATTAATAATTATTATAAATATTATTCTAATATTCTCAGAACTATCAAATCAAGTGGAGTATATAATTGAATCTGTAGCAAAGCCATATGTAAGAGTCATAGTCGAATATGCATATTCGATTCGCAATGTAGGGTATAACAAATGACCGAGGCTATCGTATTATTTTTGGTTCCTGTTGGCATGCGAATGCTGCTATCAGTGTGCTGCGACAGTGCGTCTGGTTGATTATTCCTTTTGCATATTTGCAGATTGAGTTACGGTTGTTGTCGCTATCCTTTGCTGTTACCACCGCAGCAGTCGCTTGATTCGCGGCATTTGTCTGGGGCCCTGCAGCCGAGACGTGTCCTTCCTGTATTTGTTATTGAAAAAATCGAATAATGCGACGTTTTTAATAATGCAAGAAGCAACCCGTTATTAAGTCCCATTTGGACTTGGAATTTAATTAAAATTCTCGAAAGAGGTTTATTGGTTGTCTGTGTGTGGCCATACTTTGGACTTCAGCTAGCGACAGTTCCGTCATTTAAAGTCGGATATGTAGCCCTGAGTTTGCTGTCAAAAATCGATAATAGTGCTCCAAACTGGGAAAAGTTCATTAGTTTTTCTGAATTGAGTTGAATGTTCTTAAGCCAGTCAAAACTTTTTTGTTAATTTATTTAAATTTAATTTTGAATTGTATGTTTCAGCAGAATGACAAACGAATTAAGTTTGAATCAACAGCTAGCTCAGGTTGTTGGCTCCTTGGCCACCATAAACACATTGGGTAAGCTTCACAGTGTTCACTATATATTTGCCACTCTACATCGTTTCTACGCAGCTTTGTGGCCAAGATCGAACGGCTTGTATGCCGGGCAGCATTTAGACTTGGGCCCCACAACTAGACCCTTGTACAGTGTCAAGACGGACTTATCAGTTTGCAATCGTCAAGTGGCACCTCCTCAATTGAAGTTCAATACTAAAGCAAACTTATCGATTTCGGGGTATAATATGACCGACGCGGATATATTGGATCTGGAATTGGATAAAATTCCATTGGCATGAACATAAATATGTTGTGGAATACCAAAAAACAATCAGTTTGCATTTGTCAGGTTTATAATAAAAGACCTCAAATATGCTACAATATTCGTATCTTATTTTTAATCAACATAGGCCTTTAGAAAAAACTAAATATATTGCAATAAATAATATTGCATGTAAATAATATAATTATTTAACAATTTAAAAAAGTTAATTCTTGTGAATTCTTTTAACAAAATCTTTAAATAACTAGAAGTCTAGTGCAGGGTCGTCTCTTTTGTTAGATTTCAACTATTATTTGTTTGTCGCCAGACACTTGGGAGCAGTTGGTTCATTTTACCCTGAACACACAAGGATAACAAAAGGCATGGCAAGGACATGCAAGGCCCAGCACCAAATTTTAATGACAATGTATTATATATGCATCTGAAACTATGAAATTGTATATATATATATATGGTTTGTATTTGTGTAGAGTGCAGTTGGCATTAAGTGCTAAAGGATAGGACTAAAGGATACACAAAGGTACACACACACAGAGACTCACACTTATTTGGGTTTGCGTAAATTTTACGTATTTGGCTCACGAATCGAGTCCGTCTGTTGGCCAAAGACGTTCGTTGCGGCGTAAAATTCAACAACGGCTTTCATGCAGGGCCTGTAAATTATGTAGCCCACAGGATATGCGCCAGACACACACACACACACTTAGACACACTCACACACACTTGTACACACTCGACATCAACAAGAAACTCAACTAAAAATGATGTACTTAATTTTGGGGTTTTTCCTATTTAATAAACTGCAATACGAATGCAAATGCTTGAATGGCTGTTGAAAAAGCAACGAGCGCTGAGAGTTTTGCTAGTGCAAACATTGCCGTGCAATATCCTTCGTCCAGGCTGCACCGCAGGACGTCTAGACGTTGACGCTGCTGCGTCCTCGACAGCGATAAGCATACGCCATGGCGCGGCATTATTATAATACGTGGCCATTATCCCAGCAACGCCGGCGATAAATCACACCAGGACATCTTTGTGTGTGTGCCACAGGCAGACATGACACCATCTTCTCCAGCTCTGCCTCGTGCTGCACAAGCTGGAGCAGTTTGCTGCTGCTGTTGTAGCAGACGTTGGCTGGTCTATTCGTATCTGAGGCGCTGCATCGCGCACACGCTCATAAAATGTTGCGCCCGGTGCCCCCAGACGACAAATTTGCTTAGAATTTGAAATGCATGGCACAGACAAAAGCAACATAGAGAAAGAGAGAGAGAGTGGGAGACAGCAGGCAGGAACTGCACAGGAAATGGACGAAAAAAATGTTGAAGCAGTAGCTATGCAAAAGTGAAGCCCAGTTGCCAGTTTTTGGGGCTGGTCGACAGCGCGCATTATTATTACAGTTGGCAAGTTCAAGTTCAGGACGTTCATTGTGAACGTGCTTGAAATGGAAACCTTTGCCATGCAAGCAATGCAAATAGTAGTAGTAGTCTGGCACGATGTCATAAGCTTAGTTTTTTCTATGGAATGGAATGGATTGAATTGTAAACTTTGGCTAATCAAGCATTTGAATTATTAATATTAGATTGTCTGGATTTAGTTATAACTGGCTGGCATATTACACACTCTGGCAACACTATAAGAATAGTTGATAATATTGCTGTAAAAAAAACACATTTGATAATCAAGAAAATTCAATAGATAATCAGAAAATTGACTGTAGAAGTGACTGAAATAAGCCAGAGTCTCGCAGCACTATTCTAATTATTTAAAGTGTAGTTCAACTTTTTCAGGGCTACTGAAATATTTTCTAATTGGAATCGGTTTCAATTAATCAGACTAACTGGCAACGTTTTCCTGGAACTGGAACTGGAATTGACTTTAATTGCTGCTATAAGTCTGGCAGCGCCGCACTTTTAATTCACAGAATATCACAGAATGAATGGCATATCGGGAAATACAATATCGGTTATGCCAAATAAACCATGAATGAGGACTTCAAGCATCTTAGATGTTTCAATATGTGATGCTTTCATCTATATAAATATGCTTTCACTCTTGAACTTTTCGTTTCACAGGCTGCCATGCTTCACTTTTAAGCAGTTTCTCTGTGATTTACAGATTCATTTTGAATGGCAGTGGGAATGAATATGCTCTCAGCATCAAAGGGAAACTATTTGGACACAATGCCAAGTTTTTCGCTGCAGCATCAACGCCCATGTGGAATACTTGACGAGTAGCTCAAACCCCTTAGTGGCCAATGGCAGCCTGGCAGGCAGGCAGGACTGAACCCTGGACCCAGACTCGGACACGGACACGGACACGGACACGAACGCGAACGCGGACTTGGACCCATGTGCAGTGGCATTTTATGGCATTGGCGCTGGCTTCTGTCTGGCGTCTGCTGCTGCTGATGTTGGCCTTCAGACGCTCATAAACAAACGCGACACAAGTTGCAGAGTGCCAGACAGGATGAGCAGGGGAGTTGCTCTAATGTGCTGGGCGTGGCTTTGCATTTATTCGTGTGTAAAATTTTAATTGAAATATATATATTTAAGCCGGTCTCTGCCAGACAGAACGTCAGCCATGCACTTCTGAAACTGTGCGGCTCCTGCAGCTGCAACTACATATATTTGTATCTGCATCTGTAGCTGTATTTGCATTTGTATTTGTGTACGCGGATGCGCGTATGCCGCTAATGTTTTCATTTGCATTCAGGCATCAGCTCCAACAACATGTTTATATGCAAATGCGCTCTCTGATTATCGGCAAATGGGTCCGTCTGACTGGACTTCTGGCTCCGTCTGTGCCTCGCTTGTGCCCATTCCTCAATATTAACTGTTTGTTTTTGGCCGCGCTGATTTTGTTTGCCCATTTCTCGTAGCTGTGACTTTTTCGTCGCTTTTGCTGCGTTCGTGGGCGTGGCGCACAGCTGGCTTTGGCCCTGTGTTCAAAAGTAGCCTTTAACTACAGTTAGCTAAAGAGCTTTATATACCGTTAAATTCTAGCTTAACTCTTGATTTGTTGCATAAATCTAAGCCGATCGGGATAAAATGTTCGAATCAAATATTTGATGATTTGATTTTATGATGATTTATTGTTCGATCGACCTGTTAAAGTTAACAGTTACTTTTAAATGTGCATCATAAAAGCTGTCTTTAAGAGTTGAGCTCATAGTTTATCTTGAAGTTAAAGCTTTATCTCCATTTGTCTTTGGGCGTTCGTCAAGTCTGAATTATTCTATTCTATTCTTTTAATACATGAAAACCTTTTCATATCCAAATATAATACATACGAACAGCTTCGTGCTTTACACTATAATTAGGGCGCTATTAAAATAAAAAGTTCTCTTAAAGCATTTGAAATCCATCGCGCTGTAGTCCAATCATTATTATAATTTATGTGCTGCTCATTAACAGCCTGGTTGGTGTTATCGCAGAAAGACCTATTTGAACTGGCAAACGTAGCGAGCCGTGACCCCTGCCCCTAAATTGAGAGCGCTGCAACCCTCGATGGAGAGCCCCCTGGTGTCAGACAGGATTCACTTAACGCTTCGTGTGGCATAAAATTTCCTTACAAAAATTATATTTTAAAATTAATGAAGAGCTCGTTGTGTGTTGTGCTCGCCTGGTCTGGTGGGGTGTACTGCGCTGGTGTTAAGGTGTTAAGCGTTAAAAAGGAAACAACAGAAAAAAAACGAAGAGCAAAGGGAAATAGAAAATGCCACTTGGCCACTTTGGATAGCTGGCCAAAGCTGTTAGCCCGCCCGGGGCATTAACAATGAATGTCATTTGGATTTGCGTTGGATAAGTTTCTAATTTATTGTGCATAAAACAAGGTGCGCATATATATGTACCTTTATATATATATGTATATATATATACTCTGCACACTTATATCTATTTCTATATATATGTATATAGCTCGTGCTTATCATCGCGCTCGCATCGCCACGTGCCGCTTCTCACGCGCTCTCTTTGGTCTTCGCTTCAGTGTTAGTATGAGGTTGGTTCGCTGAAGCATGACCTTAGGTCAGCCTGAGCTGAGCTGGTTCGGTGCCCGCGTATGATACAAGCAGCTCTGGCGTCATGGGCGCATTTAGGGTAATCCATGTCTTCGGCAGGCCGGCATCATCTCGCGCAGATTGCAGCGCCTGCTGCAGAGCAAAGGCCACGGAAATTGCCAGGCAAATGGCAGGTTCTCCAGTAGCTACATACAAAAGGAAATGTTAACAAGGTCATCTATTGATAATAACCGAACTAAGGCTTACCCTTCGAACGCATGAAACCCGCCTTATTGGGACTCTTGGGCAGCAGCTCGATGCGCAGATCAATGGGTATATCCTTGGCACCTGGCGGCTTGTAGTTCCAGGTGCGATTCGTCAAACATTCGCCCGTTTCCTTATCAACAACTATCTGTTCACTGGTCCAATAACCAAGGCCCATCATAAAGGCGCCCTCAATCTGACCAATATCCACGTTGGGGTTCAAGCTCTCACCAGTGTCCTCGAGTAGATCCACACGATTGATCAGATAGTTACCAGTGAGCACATCCAGCTCCACCTCGGTAAGGCACAAGCCACACACCGAGTATGGCTCCATGTCGCCCTGTTTGCACTGGTCGCTGGCTATCAAGTTGATCTTGCGGTTGTATGCCTCAGTGATCAGCTGTTGCCAGTCACCTGCTTTCAGCTCCTCCTTGACTGGGGCCAGGCGCGAGTTCAGAGTCTCGCAGGCTTTACGCACAGCAAAACATAATGTCTCACTGCCCACAGCGCCGCCGGTGACCATCGAGTTGGCTCCATTAATCGTATCGCTAGCTTCTATGCGCACCTGTTCCAGGGCAATGCCTAAAGTATGAGCCACGACCTGAGCGACCTTTGTGTTCATGCCTAGAATGAAGATGGATGAGAATTGTTCGTACATTGAAATGGAAGTATAAAGTAGATAGAGGTTCGTTGTATTAGGATTACTCCTTATTAGTAACCCATTTTGATCTCTCTTTCATTGCTCACCTTGACCCATTTCGATGCCACCGTGAGAGACTACAACTGTGCCGTCACTGTGATAGATGGCCACCGTAGCCGGATACTGTCCGAAGTAACCAATCTGATACTCCATGATGCACAAGCCTAGACCGCGTTTGCGCCAACGATGTTCCTTGTTGTGGGCGATAATTTCGGATCGGCGCTCACGATACAGAGTACTCTTGAGGAATCTGGGCATCATGTCGCCCATTTTGTGAGCGGGCAATAAATTAGCGAAGCGCACATCAGCTGGATCGACACCTGTTTCAAAGGCAATATGCTCAATGATATTCTCCATCATCGCAATGCCCTCAACAGAGCCGGGTGCTCGGCAGGGCGTATTGCTCGGCGAATCCGAGATGACCATAAAGCCATCCAGCTTGTAATTATCGCTGAACTCATAACAGTTCTTAGACAGCAGCACCGTATGTCCGATAGGTGACTCATTGGTCAGATAGCCGGCATCCTCGTAGAAGCGACTCTCGATGCCCACAATCTTGCCATTGGCCTGCACGTAGAAGTCATAGTCGCAGTGGAAGGACCAACGTTTGCCCGTCGTATTCATGATGGACTCCAGCGACTGAACAAACCTCACTGGACGATTGAGCTTGTGGGCAGCGACGGCAGCTGCAGTTGCAGCTAAGTTGCAACGCGTTGCTTTGCCACCATAGCCACCCCCAATGCGACGAGTCTTCACTTGCACCTCGTTGCTCTTTAGCTGCAACACATTGGCGATGACGTCCTGCGAAAGATCCATCCACTGTGTGGCCACATAAACCTGTAGGCCACCCTCAAAGGGCAACACCACCGTCGTCTGTGGCTCCATAAAATAATGATACTGAAGTCCCATATCCAATTTGCCGCTGCCCTTGATATCGTGCGCGACATTCAGCTTCAACTTGTCGTGCATGGATTTGACTGGCTGAAGAATGCGATCGGCAGATGCAGCAGATTCCAAGATATGCTTCATGCTGGGCAGTACCTCCTTGGCGCCGCCCTCATAGCTGAGCTTAACCAGTTCGGCGGCACGTTGAGCCAGCGCATTGGAAGTGGCTAGCACCATTCCGATGGGCTGTTGATAGAACTTGATTTCGCCTGTGGCAAAGAGCTGCTCCTCCTGCGGGAAGAAGAAGTCATCTTTAGCCTTGGGGCGCAATGAATTCGGCCCCGGTATGTCCTTAGCATCCAAATAGGCCACCACGCCGGGCAATGCCAAAGCAGCTGTTGTGTCCACCTTGCTGACCACAGCACCGACACGCTTTGCTGTGACAAACGCTGCCCACAGCTGATTATGTTGCGTGGGCAGATCATTGGCATAGGTCGCCTCACCCGAGCACTGAATAAGTCCCTCATGTTTCTCCGTGGGCTTCGTCACTGGATAGTGCTGCTCAAAGGTCTCGAAGCTTTGCTGTCCCTTCGACACAGGACGCTGTAGTAAGGCGCCTCCAGTTACCTGACGACTACCCAGAGCCTGTTGACGCAATGCAGCGGCCTTCAGCAGAAACTTGTAGAGCAGTCCACAGGCCAGCTTGCGACGGTAGACAGGCGATGCATCCGGCAGCACCTCATCTGGCTGCAGCAGCGTCGACAGCTTGCCGAATACCTGCTCCAGCAATGCATTGTCAAAGGGATTGCGTTCGACCAGCAGCTGCTCAATAACCGTTGCATGCACGAAGTCCGGTCGAATGCCGCCAAAGCAAATGCGAGCATTTTTCACCTTCGCCTCTGCGTCCAGTTCCAGCAGAAAGGCAGCGTTCACATACGCATGCGCATTCTGGGCACGTGGCATAATCTGCAGAAGGAAACGGAATGAAATTTGAGATGAAGCTTACTTACTATTGATTGGAGATAGCATAAATATAATAAATTCCTATAGGAGTAGAGCGAGTGATCGGGGTATATTAACATATATAAAGGAAGTATAGGAAAACTAATAGAGAAGAAGTTAACTTGTAGTTAGCTGACAATCGAAATAAACTACAAATAGTTTCCTGACTTTGGAAGAAAAAGTCCTCTAATGGAATAATAAGAATATCGAGAAATAAGTAAAGTCATATTAACGATCAAGAGGAAGCTCAATTGATACTTAGGCTAGCAAGAAGTGTCAGGATAAAACGAAAAACGCTTAAATTGACGATGATTCTTCATCAAGAAATTTATTTTCTATTATCTAAGTTAACTAGACACCACAATTAAAGGGTATTTGCCAATCTCGATACATTTATAAATGTTCTTTCTTACCTTGTACGAATCAAACAGAACATCCTTCTTCGGATAGGCAGGCAAAGCAATGCCACGAATAATTTTGCCTTCCATGGACAGCTTCAAATAGCTGGCTAAGCTCACAGTTTGCTGTGTGTCCGGCGACTCCTGTATTATGACTTTTGCATCCAGAGCCTCCAAAACGATAAACACATCCGAGGGGAACTCGGGGTGGGCGTGCTTGATGGACAAGTTGCCTGCCAGAGTGCCGGCCTGAGTTATTACAAAATAAATTGATAAAAACAATTGTGAACATTGCGCGCAGATAAGATAGGAAAGCTGCGAGTGCACTTGATTCTGGCAAAGCTGCCCCGTGACTTACATTGCGCACTGGCACATTGGCAATCCAATCCAAGTGCTGCCACACCTGGGCCAGGTACTCAAATCCCGTTGTTTGCTCCAGCTTGCGGCATATGTCCATGGTCTCGGTAAGGCTTAGATTTCCGCCTAGGGTAAGAACTTTATTGGCCAAGCTGTAGCCTCTCAGCTCTGCCAGGGCACGTAAATCGATGAAGGCTTTGATCTCCATGCAGCGTCTGTAGATGCCGTGCGCCGTGTTGCCAGCAACCAGCATGTACGGCAGCTGCTCCTTGACAGCTGCTCCCAGCGCTTCGAACAGCTCAGGCAGTGTCTGGGGCCAAGCCCAGCGACTGCCATCAGCGTATTGTTGAACACCTCGCGGCTGGTTCTTCTTGCAGCTGCCAGCACAGAGCTCGCCTGTCTTGGGGCACTGCTTGCTACTCAAATCCTCAATGTCCGCACACTCCGCTGGCACAGTTATATTGCTGTCGACGGCAAAGGACTTCATTGCATCCAATATCGGTCGATAGCCGGTGCAGCGGCAAATGTTGCCGCCGAAGGCATTCTCCACCTCGGCCATGGTCACACGGCCGCCCTGGGACTGCAGCAGTGCGTACATATTCATGACGAATCCTGGCGAGCAATAGCCACATTGAGTGCCGTTCATTTTCGCCAGTCGCTGCTGTATGGCGTGGTAGCCTTTGCGCTTGTTCCCCAGGCCCTCTGACGTGGTCACGTGCAGGCCCAGGCAGGTGTTCAGCAGCGTTAGGCAAGAGTTAACCGCCCAGGTGCTCAGCTCCCCGGTCACCGGATGAACACCGCTCAAGGCACAAACACAGACTCCACAGCCACCTTCCTGGCACATGAACTTGGTGCCCGTGAGACCGGCATGTTCTCGTATAAACGTGTTCAGGGTAATGTCTGGGGCCAGGATCGACAGATTAACTAAAATTAAGATTTATTTAGATGTCAATTAAGAAAATCAGGTAAATGCTGGCATACAAGCTGATCATGTGATCATGTGAGCTAAGCTCTTAAGCGTAACTCGAATATGGGTTCTGGTGACCTCTCGGCTTTCTTAAAAAATTGTAAAGAAAAACGTGATTCAAACTGAATCAGTAGACAAATAGACTTGTGGAAAGCTTGAATACATGAATTTCATTAAAACGGTGGCATTATGAAATAGCTAATTCCCCATAGTAAAGCGCATAATGCAGTCCCAGGGCAACCGACTGATGCGCTAAAGCTTGAGTGTGTGCTTGTATTGTTTATTAGGCATGAAAGAAGCAGACTGACTGAAATAGCGGGGGTCAGGGTATCTCCTAATCGGGCACTCTCGACTAGAGTACTCTTATGTGGTTATTTATTATTGTTATTTCTTATTTTATTTTATATAATATTTTTAATATTTTTTGTTATTTATTTTGACTTCTTAATTTCGTTATTTTCTTTTATAGTTTTAAACATTTTATTTTATTTTTCATATTTATATTAAGTGCATTAGAACTACTTCCAAGCGTAACACATTTTATTTCGAGACATTTGTGCACTATATATATATAATATATATAATATATATAATATATATAATATATATATAGAAGTAGTTCTAATGCACTTAAAAATCCTATTCGCAAAATTTATATATATATATCATCTTTTAATTTTTATTATATTTTTTTTTAATATTTTTATATTAATAATATAATAGAAAAATAGACAATTAACAAATCGTCAAAAAAAAAACAGTGAATTCAACTCAACGATTCGATTAAAGCTCAAAAATTCTAATTGCTGATTGTTACAATTGACAAGCAAGCACTATATACATACATACATACATACATATATAAATATATGAACATTTATTTGATACAGACATACAGAATGTGATAGATTGTTATCTTTGGCGTTACATAAATGTTAATAAGACTATTTAGATACGCCGGGCGATGTATGTAAATAATCATATACATACATACACCACTGTGCTCGGCAGTCCACTTCAAATAATTTTGTACATACGTATTATACATATGTACATGTGTATGTAGTTAAGTGCTTTTGTATATGTTCACGTACCTTCATAGCAATCGCCGTTGATAGTTATACTTTCCGGCATTATCTGTAGATTTTCGTTTTGCTTTTTATCTATGAAAAACACTTATTATTTTTATTTTGTAAGACAAGTTTGTTCTTTAATGTATTTCGCAACGTATCGCAAATATTTTTTAATTGTTCGACCCACGCCGATCGCAGCTGTACTGTAGTTCCGGGGCCCGAGTATTGCCGTATTTATTGGCCCAGCCCATTTGCTGAGCCTCGCCAAGTTCAACTGAGAGTGCGAAATTACGTCTCTTAATAACGGCGTTACGTTCACGTTTCGGTTCACGTTTGCCACAAGTCTTAGGAACGTACCAAAAAGTTGGTTCGCGCTCAAAGCTATTAAACAGTGATTATGATTATGATTATGATTATTATGATTATAATGCAAAAATGTATATATATATAAAATTGTATAAATATGTATAAAATTGTAATTCAAATCAATTTAAATCTAGTCTTTCAATTTTCATTAAAAATATATACATTTGATTTGAATTTGAATTAATATTTTTCAATTGTTTAAAAGTGTGTTCCTAAAATGTATTTTTTAATATAACGTAAAGTATAGATCTTTACCAGAACAGGTTATTTCATACCAAAAAGGTACATTTGTATTGAAGGGACATACCAGTTTTAGGTACATAATAAAATTTAAGTGGTAATCGTGATTACGTTATCACATGTCTAATGCTCTCTATTGCTCCCTCTGGGTCGCTCAAAAAAGCTCTTACACTCTCTCGCACGCTCTCTTTCTCTCTTTCGTTCTCTGTCTCTATTTGATAATTTCGCTCAGTAGCCGGGCTTATCGTCAAGTGAGTTTTTTGTTTATACTGAGTTTTGTTCTGACTTCGTTTCTAAACAAACTTTGTTCATGTCATCACGAAAAAGCATGTGCTCGTACCTTATAAATATATTGAAATGAATATAGCAAGGGAAGCCTATGATCCCAACAGAGCATCAATGAGCGGCATCTGGTTTCGCGTGTCTAGAATAATTGTTGGAATTTCATAACTCGTTTTCGACTAATTTGATCTATCTATAGTCTTGGCTGTCCGGAGATTATATGTATATTATTGGGAAGCGTTATATTTAGAAACCATTAACGTAAATATACAGACGTCTTCATATGTATGTATGTTTTGCTTTGTTAGTATTATACAGAAAAGCTCAGCATCAAATTTAACTTTCCTATGAAATCGATAGAAAGCGTAATAGATCAAATTAATTTTAAAAAGTAATCGGTGTTCGGTGGAAAGTGTCATACACGATTTAGTGCTCCTGATACAGATGTTAGATATATATTCATTCATTTTTAGATAATTTCTTACATTTTTCAAATAATAAACAAATTGCTTAGTGAAAATTTATATATATTATATGTATACATACATAGATGTATATAGTGTATATATTTAACTGATTTGCCAAGACAGCTATCAATCATAATGTATGTAAATACACATTGAACCTTATATATCTGTGTATATTTCTGTTACAATATTTAATTTTCTTCACTTGAGTCTAAACGTTTTGACATCATGTCCTGCATTCAATAGCAACGTTTCAGGTGTGGTGGGCGCACCCAGACGCACCCACTCTCTAGGTAATCCGGCATCCTTTCTAGCCGATTGCAATGCCTGCTGCAGAGCAAAGATCACGCTGACAGCCAAGCAACAGGGTGGTTCACCTGTGGCCTTAGAGCGCATAAAGCCAGCACTGCTGGTCTGTGGATTCTGAACGAGTTCGATGCGAAAATCAATGGGTATATCCTTGGCACCAGGTGGCTTGTAGTTCCATGTGCGATTCGTAAGGAGGCGTCCAGTTTGTCGATCATAGATTAACTTCTCACTGAGCCAGTAGCCCAGGCACATGACAAATGCTCCCTCGACTTGACCTATGTCAATGTTGGGACTGAGGCTTTCACCAGCATCCTCTAGCAAGTCGACGCGCTTGATCTGATTGTTGCCGGTAAGTACATCCAGCTCGATCTCGGTCAGCGCCATTCCATAAACATGGTAGTTCTGCATATCGCCCTCTTTATAATGATCCGACGCAATCAGGTTAATCGAGGCAGCATAGGCTGCCTGCACTGTTTCCTGCCATGTGGCTTTTGGCTTCTTCACCGGCTGCAACCGAGCGTTGAGTGTTTCGCAGGCTTTACGAACTGCAAAACAGAGGCTTTCGCTACCAACAGCACCACCCGTAACCATGGAGTTGGCACCATTTATGGTGTTTGACGATTCGATTTTGACGTGGTCCAACTCGATGCCCAACGTGAAGGCCGCAACTTGCGCAACCTTCGTGTTCATGCCTCACAGAAAAATTAAAGAGAAATAAAATTATTTCATTCCAAACGAAGTGTCTAATAACTACCTACCTTGACCCATTTCAATGCCGCCATGGGTGACAACGACTGTGCCGTCCACATGATAAATGGCGACAGTAGCCGGATACTGCCCGAAGTAGAAGATGGGATAGTCCATTATAGCCAGGCCAAGCCCACGTTTGGTCCAACGATTCTTTTTATTGTGCTCCTCGATTTCCTTGCGTCGCGCCTGATACTCCCTCGACTGCAAAAACTGAGGCAGCAACTCTGCCATTTTGTTGCCTTTAGCCAAATTAAGCATCCGCACCTCAGCTGGATCATGCTCCACCTCAAAGGCCACATGCTCAATAATGTTCTCCATCATAGCAATGCCCTCAACAGAGCCTGGTGCTCGGCACCAGGTTGAGCTGGGCGCATCCGTCAGCACAGCATTTCCATTAATTTTATAATTAGAATCGTTGAACTCGTAGCAATTTGCTGCGGTAATCGTCGAATGTCCTTCGATGGGACTTTCGTTCTTATTCCAGCCGGCATCCTCGTAGAAATCATTCTGGAGACCCACAATCTTTCCACTGTTCAGAACATGGACCTGGTAGTCGGATCGACAGGCCCAGCGCTTGCCATTCGCATCCATCATTGATTCAAGGGATTGCACAAAGCGCACGGGTCGATTCAGCTTTTGAGCAGCTAAAGAGGCGGCGCAAGCCACCTGATTGCAGCGTGTTATTTTGCCGCCGTAGGCTCCACCCAAGCGTCGTACCTGCAGCTGCACATCCTTGGCTTTCAGCTGCAACATTTGAGCAATTACTGACTGCGTATGATCCATCCACTGGGTGGCGGAGTAAACTTTGAGACCATCCTCGAAAGGCACCACTACCGTTGTCTGGGGTTCCATGGTAAAGTGATACTGTAGTCCAATCTGTAGGACTCCTCGCACAGTCTTATCCGGCGTTGCCGAGCACTTCAACGTCCCAGGCTTAGCTGAGACCTCACGAATGATGCGCGATGCCTCTGGCTTCGGTGACATATCCAATACATCGCTTAAGCTGGGCAATACTTTATACACTCCAGACTGCTGCCCATAGCTGATCTTTACCAGCTGGGCTGCTTGTTTGGCAATATCTGCAGTAAGGGCAACCACTACACCGACTGGTTGTTCAAAGTGCCTGACCTGTGTGGTGCAGAAGATCTCCTCAGGTTCGTAGCCAAAGTTCGGATCACTGAACGTATTTGTACCGGGCACATCCTTGGCACTGTAGAAGGCTACCACACCAGGCTGTTTAAGGGCTTCCGTTGAATCAATTTGCTCTATGCTGGCGCCCACTTTGGTAGCTCCCACAAATGCGCAGTGTAGAGTATTCGAAGTAGTCAAAACATCATTCATGTAGGTCGCTTCGCCCGAGCACTGAATCATGCCCTCCACCTTTTGCACTGCTTGCGTAACGGGATAGTTTTGCTTTTGGGTCTGGTACAACTGAGTGCCCGAGGATAATGGACGCTGCAGTAGTTGGCCTCCGCTTTTAAATGCCTCACTCACGTCCTCTTTAGGAGCATGTTTCAAAAGGAACTTGTAGAGCAGTCCACAAGCCAGACTCAAGCGATAGGCGGGAGATGCATCCGGAAGAATCTCATCTGGCTGCAGCAACGTCGACAGTTTGCCAAATACCTGCTCCAGTAGTGCATTGTCAAAGGGATTACGTCCGACCAGCAGCTGCTCAATAACCGTTGCATGCACGAAGTCCGGTCGAATGCCACCAAAGCAAATGCGAGCATTTTTCACCTTCGCCTCTTCGTCCAGTTCCAGCAGAAAGGCAGCGTTCACATACGCATGCGCATTCTGGGCACGTGGCATAATCTAAAAATGAGAAAGGCGTTCGGAAGACCAGAATTGACTTATCTCTGACTACAGAAAGATAATGTCCTACCTTATATGATTCGTAAATGAACTTATCCGTGCCATAAGCAGGCAAAAGAAATGCCTTAAGCACGAGCTTTTTATCCTTCGACGTCAAGTAATCAGCCATTGACATTTGTTTTTCATCTTTGGCGTTCTGCGAGGCCACGACTTTCACATCTAGGGCTTCGAAGCTAATGTGGACATCGGATGGAAACTCTGGATGTTCTTTCTTGATGGATAGGTTGCCCGCCAGTGTTCCAGTCTGAAACAAAGAGGTGTTCAGGAGAGGAGCTCGAAGGAGTTAAACGGGAAACCCACATTGCGAACAGGCACATTGGCAATGAGATCCAAGTGTTGCCAGAGCTGCTTCAGGTACTCAAAGCCTGACTTGTTAGAAGTATCTTTGAGAATGTCCATGGCCTGGCTGAGACTCAGATTGGCGCCCAACTTGAGCTGCTGCGGCTCACTGCTATGCTCGTGTAGCTCTGCCACGGCGCGTACATCAATAAAGTGTTTAATGTCCTGCGCACGACGATAAACTCCATGCGCCGTGTTGCCACCGACAAGCATAAACTTCTCCTCGCCCACCAGGTCCAATGCTTCAAACAGTTGACTCAGGGACTGTGGCCAATGCCACTGACTGCCATCCGCGTAGACCAAATTGGAGCTCACACAGCTGCCTGCGCAACGCTCGCCCGTTTTGGGGCAATTACGCGCCGATAGATCTTCAATGTCCATGCACTCAGCTGGCAGTTGAATGCAACTGTCCACGGCAAATGACTTCATCGCATCCAGTATGGGCCGATAGCCGGTGCAGCGGCAAATGTTACCACCGAAAGCGTTCTCTACCTCGGTCATGCTCACTTGACCCCCATTTGACTCCAGCAACCCGTACATGTTCATAACGAATCCCGGCGAGCAGTAGCCACACTGGGTGCCATTCAGCTTGGCCAGACGCTTCTGTATGGGATGATAGCCGCTTCGCATGTTGCCCAGTCCCTCCGAAGTCACAATCTCCAGCTGCGCGCAGCTATTTAACAGAGTCAGACACTACCGAAGCCAAGCAGTTAATGTTGATTTTTTTGTTCAGTTATCGGGATACCCTTTCTTACCGAGTTGACCGCCCAGCTGCGCTTCCCGTCGCGCAACACGCAAACGCAGACGCCGCAGCCGCCCTCCAGGCACATGAACTTCGTCGCTGTCAACTGCGCGTGCTCCCTGATAAAGGTGTTCAACGTGATATCTGCCGGCAAGTTGCTCAGATTCACTACAAGCAGAGTGAAAGAGAGCGAGATGTATTTGTATGTAATACAAATCTTTTTTTAGTTTCTTTATTTTTAAGCTCTATGTGGAGCATTGATTAGCAACTGGATTAACAACTTACCAGTAAAAGGCTGTCCATTAATTGTAAAGGTAGTCGTCATACTGCAACTTATATAAATTATTGTTTCCAAAAAAATCAACAATTAAATGTTCCGTTATTTAGCTTCAATTGCTTCAGCTGATGCTTCTTTGCGCTTCGGTTGTTTGCGTTCAACTGATTCTCAATTCGCTCGTTCGGCGGCAAGCTCGCAATTTTGTAGGCTGTTGCGAAAATTTGAGTTAATATTAAATACACATGTACGTATATACATACTTACAAATATAGGCATACCTGTGTAGCTAATTGAATTAACGACTTTTGAACACAAAATGTTAGCTATTGTTGCTCAACTTTAATTGTAGCTTTACCCGACAGCTGCTGCGCCGTTCCAAATGGGCCCAGCTGTTCGAATTGCTGCAATACTCTCGTGTATAGCGTGAGAGTATATAAAAACGTAAATATCCACTTACTAACATATATACTTATTATGAATATATACTCCGCTTGCAACTACGTAAGTGTAAGTGCAAATTATACAATTTAAATGCCAAATGCAAACAAATCGCATAAATTACTTATATATTTATATCTGTAAACACGCACATGTATATATTTGAGTTTAATTTACGTGCATATATAATTATTTGTTTGCACTGCTAAACATTAAAATTGCAAATTGAATTTTGATATGCATTTTGCATGTCAGTGGCATCTACACTGCGATTAAATAATTTGTTTTTATTTTAGTAATATTTTATCAATTTAATTTAAAGCGTATACGGTTTTGACTTTGAAAATTACTGTGAAGCCCACTGTCGACTCAAACTCTCACAACAAATGAGAGAAGGAAAGGAAAAGAGAGCAAGCTACCGGACGGCATATACAGCATTGCCAGCTTCAATTAAATTTATATTTTCTAAGCTTTGCAATTCAATAAAATTTAAAGTAATATGTAAGGCCCGTAAATTTGTAAATGCTGAGTGACTGTTAGTCGTATCTTCAAGGTGTTCGAGTGCAAATAAAAATAACGCAAATTTGTCATGTTTTCTATGGAGTGTTGGAAATTAAGAACGAGAAATACATGAGGGCAATACTAGACATTTTCAGTCCAGACGAATATACTTAAAAAGATGTATATTAAAGCATGAAAACAAATATTTGTTATTAATCTTTATTGAAAAATGCTTTTAAATATCGCTCAAAGTTTAACTCAATAATGAGTGTCGGCCCAATTTCACACAAATATGAAACAGAGATTATGACTAGCATTGCCAGTCTAAATTAAATGTTTGAATAACAATTGCTGCACCATGCCCACAAGTTTACATAACATAAATGACCAGCATTTCCAGCAGCACAAATAACATGTTTCACTTTTCAATGTCACGCGGTTCGAGTTTAAATCACGAGGCTGTGATTTTGTTGTAAATGATGATTTATAACTTTTTATCTAGAGCATTCTAATTTATTTAATTCTATTGCGTGCAAATTCAATTCAATCAAAAGTTTAATTTTTATATGAATGTGAATCTTATTCACTTTGCTGTTTACTCGGCTGCAACAAGTGCGTGCTATCGCCAGACTCAAATTGGAAATTCATTTAAAGTAAATTGTTTTATTAAATTCAAGCTATTCTCCTAATCAGCATTCATATGTGTGCAAATTAGGTCAGTTTTAATAAAGCGAATTATGCTTAAATTTATTTATTTACTTTTTAGCTTTATTAGCTCGCACTCATTTCATTTACTATTTCTGTAGAATAAATATATTATTTAAGGACATACAGTTTATGTTTGGAAGATGAACTAAAATAGGTCATTTAATATTTAGCCGGTATTTTATTTTAGGTCTTCAAGAACACATCTCATAACATTTTTGCTTTGATGTTTATTTTTTCTTAGGATATTCCGTCCTTGTCGGCATTAGTCAGCGTTCAATTAATCGTTGCTTGTATCGTTCGTTCTTTTTGCTTGTTTGTTATCTTGACGCGGTTTAATTAATTAAATACAGGCTCGATGCCGTTACCTGCTGCCAGCAGTCAAAAATATTTACCCAGGCATCTTTTTATTAACTTATGGAATGGGCGCTGGATGGGGGAGGGGTGAAAAAGTGTCCACTCATTTAGAAATCATTTGTCAAAATATATAAATCGAGAGGGAACGAGCGAAGAGTGAGTGTAGGAAAATGTTACATAATCATGCATGCCGCATACAGAACAAGTCCAAGAGCCAAGAACAACAGCAGCAAGAGCGACAATAGCAACAACAACTACAATAAAGGGAAATGTTCCGCCCTGTAGCTTATCGATATTCAAAAATCGTATTCGAAACGTTAAACAAGTAAAATTAAAATATGAAAACGCAATCTTTTTTCACATGGCTAAGCATTCGGTTGGGTAGCCCGAAAGGCCGGCAACCCGCTGTCAGACAGGTACCCAAAAATCCCGATCCCCAAACTCCTCCACACTCTAGCCAACACAAGCTCGACTTCATGACTTCGACTGTGGGCGTGTCCATTGTTAATGTTGCCGTTGTTGTTGCTCTTGGAGCTGTCATGCATAATAAAACTCGAATATATATTCGGGCGCACGCCTTCGACTTCGCCTTCGTTTCTTTGGTTTGGTTTGGTTTGATTTTGTTCTCGCTGCGGATCCTTATCAAACACGAAAAGTGACGTGTCCAACTACCAAAGATGATGATGCACACAGCTCCAGGTTAGCGAACAGACAAATAAACCCCGCCTCCCCATTCCTCCTACCTCGCTCGCTTTGATGAGCCTCGGTCGCCACTGACCCACAAAAAGCGTCGAGTGCCGCCAAGCCCAAGTAAAGTTGTCTGTCCCTTGTCTCGGACCTTGCCTCGTAGCCAATTTGATGCCATAAATATTTTGTGTTCCCATTAGGTCTAACATATTGCAGGTTTAAATGTTTCTCCTAGGTGAACCCAAGAGCTGAGATGAATCACAAAAATAAGTTTAATGCGACATTAAAAAGTTCCTTCATGAGATTTCCATCAGGAAAAGGAAGAATAATGAAAGCTTAGATATGAGACTCTTCATTGCGATTTAATTAATGTGGCAATATCACTTTTTGAGAGAAATCATATTTAGTTTAATGCAAATCATTTGAAACAGAAGCTAAAAGCGTTGATGAAATGACATTCAGTTTGGATCGTCTCTACTGGTGGTATATATATATATATATATATATATATATATATATATATATATATATATATATATATATATATTTATAGATCATTAAAAGGTTGAGCATCATTTTGCAATTTTGTATACGCAACACGACAGCCAACAGTAAATATTACGACCCTTGCCAAAGCAGAAAAAAGGAGAAGATTGAGAAACTACTCGATTGTGACACGCTTAACCCTTTGTCAAAACCATTGACAGTTCAATAATGCTTCATTCGGGAAGGGAACGCGTTGCCTGCCATTGTCCGTTTGTTATTGATATGCGGAATAGGGGAAAGGGGAGAAGGCAAGGTAACTCCTGAGTAGGGACAAGGTGTCACATCAACTGCCAGAAGTAACGGGCAGGTACCAAAGGCAATTCGCTTACACGGGGCTAACATGACTCTGTTATAAAAGCATGTTTAATATTGCATTCGATTCAATGGATATAATATGAATTCCTTTTAAACAATGGCATATATATGTAGAGATTGAGTTTCCGTTTAATGTTATTGTTGTTGTACTTGGGAGAAAATTGCCTGTCGCAGAAGCATTTGCTTGCATCAAAATAAAGGGTCGAATATGACTGAATGCGATAATCAAGACATGATTGTTGGCTAAAGCTGAGATATATATTAATATCTGGAATGCATATTTGTTGAGCATAAACCTATATATTCGTAGATTATAGTAGAGTATATTTTGGATTCAGAAAAAGATACAAACTCACAAATATATCCAATACAAATAGTACTTTTTTCTGCAATATTAAGCATTTATAATAACGTATCCTTAAATACGACTTAGGAGCAAGTATTATAGGGCATATAAACTTCGATCTGTCAAGAAGAAACTCGCACATCTTTCATTTGTCTGGTTTTTTGGCTCGTGACTTGCGATTCGGGACTCTTGTCGCCTGTCGGATGTCACATTAAATTCCGATTATTTGCTTGAAATAATTTCCCGTTTATCTCGCGGCTGATGCATTCGCATTGATAAAGCCAGCGACGCGTCTTGATGGCTGTGGCTGCATTTGTTGGCAGCTCCTTAAAACCTGGTGATAAATTCAGCCCAGTGCGAACGTCGCACAGTGTGCAAAAACGTGAAATCGAATTCAGGTTTTTGGGCCCTGGCTAAAAGGCCTTTTTAATTGATTCATTAGTCAATCGATTGTTGAGCTGCTCTCTGGGTGGGTCCAGCTGAGTGTCGGGTTACTCGAGTGAGCTGCTCACTGCTCCCTGCTCATTGTGCGGCAGGCAGTGCGCACTGCACCTGTCACGCCCTCGCCCCCTTCCCCTCGCTGAGCAACTGTCGTTAAAACCCATTTGTGGCACTGACATCGACTGACAACTATAACATTTCTATTTTTACGAGTTCAACGAAAGGTCTATAAAACCCACAAAAAATAGAAAAGAACGGAACCCTAAAAACTAACTGTTAATAGACATTTTATTTGCGACAAATAAACAAATAACGTTCTGATATGCTCTAGAAAGCGAAGGCGGAAGAAGGGAGTATTAGACTACTTCTTACAAAACTAATGTTGAGATCTGATTAACTCAATTAAATATTTCTCAATCATATGATATTTGCCATTAAAATTAAATATATATATAAATATATTGATGAGTAATTTAACAATATTGCAATCATATTGATTTACTGAAATCTTCAGAAGTATTAGAGGCAACTCTGATCCGTATAGTTGTATTAATCATTAGTTGCCAAAACTAAGTGGTAGCTTTTAGTCGATCATTCAGGCTTTATTAATCCATTTCTATTTGTTATTTAGGTGAAATGAGTTTTCGACCAACCAAAACTAAAAAAAAAACAAACAAAACTGAGCGGAAACCTAATTGAAAGTAGCCACGCAAAATGAGTTAACCAAGCGGAAAACCAGGCCATTAAAACTGGATTGTAGGGGGTGTCGATGAGGGCCAGCCCTATTGGGCTGTTGGAGACTCGTCTGCTGTTCGATTTGTGGCATTTGGCAATTGTGGGGCAATTTAATAGCAATTTGTCCCTTCGGTCAGAAAAAAAAACAAAAGCAAGAACCTGAAAGCTGACGAAAATTTGACGAAATGCAGTTGGAAATAGTCAACAGCTCAAATGGCAGAACCCACTCAATAATTGACTGAATGACTGACTGCACAGCGTAACAATGGCAACAGCCACAGCGACAGCAGCAGCAACAACAT